AGGACGACACAGAGGACGCCGTAAAGCTTACTGGCTTGAGACCACAACGCAGGTGTATTTTCCCCATGCCCATTCGACTCACCCTGGTAGTGGAATCCTCGGACCTAATCTAGTTTATGCTCAAATTAACCGGGATCTGGATTCTACAGGGCAGGCGCCAATGCGCGCAAGACAGCGCGCACGGCGGTGACAAAATGGGTTTGGGCTGAGCTTAATTTGGGTTTCAAGTGTTATGGACCAGAGGATCTTCACGGAACATCAGAGACAGGTCCCCATTTCCGGGAGCCCATTTGGTAGTGAAATGCCCGAAGTTCCCGCCCTTCAACCCGAAATGAAGGGCCCAAAACGAACATTGCCTCTTCCTCCACGCTCGCTCTCTCTCTCTCTCTCTTTCAGGCTCTCTCGCTCTCTCTTCTCTTCTCTTTCTTCTCTCTCTGTTTGTCATTGTCTTTCTTGCCTTAGCTATTTCCTTTCTACTGACTTCACTCACTCGCCCTCCCTCTCTATCACCTCATGTCGGAGTTGTAGGTTCCTGTCTCAGTTGCTTTTGCTTCCTTGCGTTCTGTCTTTCTCTCTCTGTATGCTTGCACTTCTCTCTTCTGGTGTGCAGTGTACACCCTACTTTTTAGAGTAGCCATTGTCGCAGGGGGGCGTTCGTTCCAGCTCTGAGCTTCATTCTCAAAAAGGCGCTCTGAAGCATGGTAACTCAACCGCTTCTGCCAGAGGCTGCGTCTGCAGGCTCTTCCCGAAATTCGCAGCGCAAGGTGGATTTGCTCCTCGCCATCCAAAGAAGGTCTTGCTGTCAGTATTAGGCTTCTTTCTTGACATGGGGCTCAAGCGCAGCAGCCCTTGCTTGTAATGTCATTGTGTGCCTGTTCTTTGCTTTTTCTGGGTTATCCCATTGGGCCTCATCCCCAATAGCCCTTCTTTTTGATGGCTTGTCCCTTTCCTCGTTACCTGCACGTTCCTCGCTCCCCGTCTTGACTTTTCTCTCGCTCTATCAACTCCAGTGCTGCTTTCCTACATCTTAATTGTGCAGCTGCAATCGGCTTGGGGTAGTTTTGAATAAGATCAAGATATTTTTCTCACAAACATCATACAATGTAGGTCAGGCTGTTGTTGATTCCCCCGGGGAGAGGTCTGCTTCGTGGTCTCCCGGAACCCAGGTGCTTTGGTAGACGATGGTAGACGCAATACTTTCAATAGCTGGCATGCTTGCAACTGGGATGTCTGCAACAAAGAGCAGTTTTTCTGGGCAAGTGCATGCTTTACAAACGAGACTTTCTATTCCACAACGTGGAATTGTCTTCATAGCAAAGACGAAGAAGAGCCAGCAAGGCCCAAGTAGGCCGGGGCAATATTCGTATTGAGGAAAGCCACTGGTTAGGATTGATTCTGGTTCACCCTCCTGACTTTGAGTACGACATTCCATTCGCAAGCGCGCTTTCACATCGGGTGGTCACTTCCCTCGAGCAGGCATTGTCAGGCATTCGCGGAGAGAAGTCATATCGCGCCGTGCCGACCGGAATGAGGTTTCCGTGGCCTCTCACAGTAAATCTAACTAAGCCAGCAGTCCCCTGCATCAAAACCTTGTTCGTCAACAGCGTCTGTTGTATTTGGTTGGCTTCTTCACATCCAAGGAAGGCCTATGTGCAGAAGATGTACTTTGCACTCCTGAGAGAAGGCTGCCTCTGCTGAAGCCCAGAACGCCCGTGCGCATCCAGCTGTTGTGTTGGCATGGTGTTTGGCCGATGCTCGGCTGTGCCCGCGGTGGGATGTAGCTCTGATATGATTTGCGGATGTCTCATGAGGTAGGTTAGCTGTATCCATCACAGGGTTCAGAGAACACTGACAGATAAAGCGTTACAGCGACAGCCATTCTTGTAGACACGACAGACGACAAAGTAGTTGGCTCAGTTCAAACCCAGATATGGGAGCACCATGCGACTTGCGGCTCAGCTTTGTTGACCTGGCGGCACAGTGGAGGTTGTGCCGACCGGGACAGTTTCCACCTGCAGGGGTGATGGGGGTTTCGCATTTCCAGTTATCCAGGTTTCCAGCTGCAGGGGGGTAAGGGTGCCTTTCCTTTGTTATTCTATCCCCTACTCTGTTACGCAGAATAGATTAGGGCCGGGTCTCGCAGGGAATCCCCTAGTCTCTTCTGCGAAACAGCTTCAAGAAGGCAAAACGCCGCATAGACGAGGGCGGGGGCTCGCGGGGGGTCCCCCTTAGTGTGTTCTGCGAAACATGTTTAAGAAGGCCAAAACGCATAACAGATCCGCTAGTCTGTTCTGCGAAAAAGCTCTGCAAAGGATGCGAAGGCCAAAACACAGAACGCAGAATAGATTAGGGCCGGGTCTCACAGGGGATCCCCTAGTCTGTTCCGCGAATCAGCTTTTTTGAAGGAAAAACGCAGCATAGACTAGGGCGGGGGCTCATAGGATCCCCTAGTCTAGTCTGCGAAACAGCTCTCAGAAGGCCAAAACGCAGAATGGACTAGGGCTGGGGCTACAGGGGATCCCCTAGTCTGTTCAGCGGAGCAGCTCTGAGAGACCAAAATGCAAAATAGACCCCCTAGTTTGTACTGCAAAACAGCTCTATGAAGGCCAAAATGCAGAATAGACTAGGGCCGGGGCTTGCAGGGGATCCTCTAGTGTGTTCTGCGAAACAGCTCTCCATAGGCCAAAACGCAGAATAGACTAGGGCCGGGGACGGGATCCCCTACAGTCTGTTCTGCGGAGCAGCTCTAAGAAGGCCAAAAGGCAGCAGGGCCAAGCACCCCCCCTTTCACTTGGTTTCGCAAAAACAAGAAGCCATAGGGGACCTTCCTGAGCGCTACGGCTCCTCATTTCGGAGGTTTCGCAGCCCGAATCCAAAATGAGGAGCCGTATGGCCAGGAACCCTTCTGCCGTAGAGCCCCTGAGCCCTGAGCCCTACGGCTCCGCAGTTTGCAGTTTTCCCAAACGAGGAGCCGTAGGGCTGCAGAGCACCTCTTTGAGCACTACGGAAATGTGGTTTCGCAGCGAAACCTCCAAAGTGAGGAGC